TCTCTTTCACTCTCTATTCTTGTGGTCTCTCACTTTGTCTTCTTGTCCTTCTTACTTTCTCTCTCTCTCTCTCTCCATCACCCCTTTCTGAATGTCTCCTGATGCGATCTCAAGCCTTTTTTCTCCTATTTACTCTTTATTTTCCTTTTTCTATTTCTTTACCTCCCTTCTCCCTCAACCACACACTTACCCTCACCCTAACTCCTCCTTACCTACACCTTCATCCTCATCCTGATTTTCATCCTCATCCTGATTTTCATCCTCATCTTCACCTTCATCCTCACCCTCGCCCTCCCCACTCCATCTCCTCTTCCCTTTTCTCTTTCTCTTTCACTTTCTCTTCCTTTCCTCTTCCCCTTTCTCTTCCTCTCCATTTCCATCCTCTTTCTCTCCCTCTCCATCAGTGTAACATCTCAGTATCATCAGATTGTTAATAGGGCATACACTTTAAGCTGGTTTATATACTCATTGTTGCAATGTGCAGATTTACATTGTAAGTATATCATGGCTGTGATGCTAGTAGCCCTAGTATTTTCAGAATTAGATAGCATGCAGAAGACTAGTAGACTACATTAACGTGACAATATCTTCAGATTAGGATTGAGGTTGCAAAGCGAACCATCAACTATGGCTTTCGTCTTGTAAGCAGTGAATGATTGGAAGGATTTTATAAAGGGAACCATTGGCTTACTTTCTTGTGACTATACTAAAGTTTTGAGAAATTTGGGTGTTAGGATTGTACTGATGGTATTTTGAAAGCTGAATAGTAAAGACACTTTTTTTGTATATATGTTTACTTTTTCATGGTTAGATGTTTACTTTTGATGTTTGTAAGATTTTGATGATTTAGATTGCCTGAATACAAGATGTGCATGGAATTCTTTGTATATACCATTTATGTGCAATGGAGTTTGGGCAAATCTTGTGTTTGGTAACAGAAGTAGACATTACAGAAAGAAGATAAAATACTGAAAGATATCATGAAAAGAGATAAGCATTGTTTGACTTATATCACGTAGATATGAAATAAGTTTTGTATGCAGATAGAGCTTTTATGATGTTTGAAGGTTATTTTCCAAAGGAACATGAAACTTGAAGAGAAAATTACATTCAGTGTACTTATCTCACATTACAGAGAGTCATTTTATAGCCAGTAAAGATGCTGATGCTTGACTGTGCAATTCAGTATATGCGGTGTTTACTATGCACTATTGCTTCTCAGTGAAAGGTAATGTTAGTGTTTGCATAGGCTTACTTATAGATAGAGATGGTTCAGTGTGTGGAGGTCGTTCTGTTCATTATTACTTTTTTATAAATATTATGTTTATTTGGGTTAAATAAATTACTAAATAGAGAGGCATGATTGTGATTTATAACAGGTTCAGATCAGCACATTCATTAATTAAGCCATTAAGGCATGTGCACTTGATTTACACACACACACACACACACACACACACACACACACACACACACACACACACACACACACACACACACACACTCTCTCTCTCTCTCTCTCTCTCTCTCTCTCTCTCTCTCTCTCTCTCTCTCTCTCTCTCTCTCTCTCTCTCTCTCTCTCTCTCTCTCACACACACACACACACACACACACACACACACACACACACACACACACACACACACACACACACACACACACACACACACACACACACACACACACACACTCTTTCTTTCTTTCATTCTCCCTCCCTCTCTGTCTGTCCTTCCCTCTTTCCCTCCTTCATTTTCCCTCTCTTACTATCTCTCATTTATTCTCCCTATCTATCTCCTTCTCCCCTCCTTCCCGCCCTTTCTGCAGTTTCACCTGTACATTAATGGCAGCTGATTTTGACCCATAGAAGCCTCAGAGAGAACTTATTCAAAATGGGACAAAGTAGCAACAGGGTTAAGGTATAACCTTAAAATTCTAAGGCAGCAAAGAACAGCGACTCCACATTTACAGATTCTTGTTTTCTTATTTTCTCTTTGGAAAGACATTTAGTTTACATGTAAGGGAAACATTTTTTCTGTTTCTTTTTTAATGGTTTCAGACTAGCAGGCTCTAGGGTGTACATATTCAGAATCTTTGGCAAGTAGGGTTTAAAGATATTGGATATTCTAGGTAAGATGATTATATGACCCATATGAATACTCCCTACTTTTATTTTCGTAGAAATGTTATTTTATTTAGCAAATACCTTTGTATATTTTTTTTTCTCTTGATACTCTCTAGTAAGATG